CAACGTCCTCCACAACTAGACTGAAGAACAAAACGACAGCAACTTGTCTGTTCCCCTTTCCCCAATTCCCCAGCACTGTTCCCATCCCCCCAATTTCCCAATAAAAATCTTTAAAAAAAAAAAAAAAAGAAGGTCTCTCTGGCAGAAGACTGAAGATTGGAGAGATGACACTGGGGGCCTGTTAAAAGACTCTGGTAGTATTCCAAGTTTTGAGGGAGGGAAAAATGATGCAAGCCTGAATTTGGATGAAAGGTGATAGAATTGGGAGACTGGGTAGGAGAATCATCAAGACTGGGTGATAAATTGGGAGTCAGGTGTGAGAAAGAGGCTTCGTTCATGATGTCTCCCATCTTTCTCATTTGATGACCAGGTGAAAGGTGAATCCGTTCAACAAGGTAAGGCATTCAGGAAAAGAATCAAATACAGCATTTGTTTTTTCTGTTATTGAGGGGTGGGGAAAGAATGACAAGTTCAATTTAATTTATGCCTTGGGGATTTGTGAAACATGCAAGAGATACCAGTAGATAGTTGGATATACAGATCTGGAACTCAGGAGGGAGGTCTAGGTTGGAGATATCAACAGACTTGAGAGTCATCAACAAATAAAGTTAAAGCTGTGGGAGCAGATGAGTTGGCATAGAACACAAAATGGGAAGATGGTGAGAGACTGCCTCCTACATTAGACTGTAGACTGTGAGCCACTGGCAGGCAGAGCAGGTGGTCTATGAGTCTGTGCCCTCCCAACCTAGAGTAGGGAGAGGAAGCACTTTGAGGGCTGGATAAATGTTCTCTGTCTTCCAACCAACTGAGCCTCTCCCATTCTCCCCTACCCAAGGGTGGGTGTGGTTTCAGCTCCTTTGGGACTCTGACAGGCAGGGACCATGCAAGCAGCCTAGGAACAGCGGCACATACTGTTTAACTGGAGGAAGAAGGTAGATCCTTTTTAAATTCCCTTGCTCCCATCTTATTTTGGTTCCCCATAGTTTTAAAATTTTAACCTCAGACTCTCTCAACTTAACCCCAGAAAGCCTCAGTTTAATTCAAGTCCACAAATATTATTGGTTTGGGTGAGGTTAAGTACTACAAAGACGATTAGGCTGTGTCCCTGCCTTCTATGAGTTCCCAATCTGCAGTCGGCAAGACAAGCGTGGTGAGCAGGGAATTTATATGAGGGGTGGGAATGCTAAGGGCACTGAGGCAGGGACCTCACCCGGCGAACTGCCTTATAAACTCCAGGGCAGGGTCTGGGGCTCTGTGCCACTCTTCCTAGGCTTAATGCTGAGATGGCACTCCCAGGCGGCTGACATGAAAGCAACATCATAAAAGGGTCAGCATCATTAGGGTGATGAACCAGCTGGTGCCTGGAGATCCAGAGATGATGAAAGGCGCGGGGTGAAGACGCCCGGCGTTCCCCTAGCTTGGCTGGGCAGGGCTTCCAGGGGCCGATGAAAGCTGGGGGAACCGGGCTCAAAGTGTCTCTTCTTGCCTTTCCTAGGAGGAAGCTGTGGACACACTCCAAGATCGGGAAGGTAGTAGTGGGGGGAGGGGGGGCTCTTTCCCTCCAGAGTCTTATGTCACCGGGTCCCCAACCCAACTCAGACTCCCTCGAGACTTATAGGACCCTCTCCAGGATTGGAAGTTGCTATGGCAACGAGGCTCTCGGAATACTGAGGCAAGTCAAGGCCTAGAGAGGCGACACCCTCCTGTACCCCCCCTTTCGACCCACTGGTAAAGTGGCGCCCCCCACGCACAAGAACCGTCCCTGGGCCCCCGCCCCGGCGCGGAGATCAACGTGGACCTCCGGGGGCGGGAGGCCGCTCTGGCCCGAAGCGGAGATTCTCGCTGGTAGACGGGTCCGAGGGAGCCCCTCTGGGCGCAGCGCCGCCGAGCTGCTCTATGCTCCGACCGGAAGTGCTCTTCACCGCCGGCCTCCCACCCGGCTCTCTGGTCTCGGCGGTAAGATGGCGGCTGCCGCGGAGTGCGATGTGGTAATGGCGGCGACCGAGCCGGAGCTGCCCGACAACGCAGAAGCGAAGAGGTAACGGGGTGGCAGGGTAGTGGAAGGGGGCAGCTTCAGGTACGCGGCTCCGGTTAATCGGTCCCTGCCAGGATGCAGCCCTTAGCTGTTGAGAAGATGCCCCGCCCTCCGCAGACCCCCCCCCCAATCTGTGATCCAGTCCGGATGGACCCCCTGCAGGGGCGCTCGCGGAGGTCGGTCCTTCCCTCCTGCTTCCGCCTGGCTGGGGAGTTGAGGCACGGCCTCGTTCTCCTGCAAAGAGGAAGGTCATCGTTTTGGTGGAGACCTGGTTCCTGAGGGTATCTGAGGTCTGTTGCGGGGTGGGGGAGGCGGAGCGGCGACAATGACAACTTCCTTACATTGCCTCCTACCCATCTCCCCCCTACCCCACCCCCAGCTCTTATTAACTTCTATGCATTGTTGTCTATCAGCACTTAGCATTTCCACAGTCCGTGCTCTTTACCCCTTTTCCTCCGTAATTATATCCCAGGGAGCATTAGTCTGGGTCCGAGGTGATTGTGTCTCCATCGTTGACCTGGTCGTCACCCCCTCCCTGTTACCCCAGAAGTCGAAGATGATAGAGAAAGAAGAGTGAGGGGCTTGTTTCATGCTGTACACCTCAAACTCCTCTTCCTCCATCCCTCCATGTACCCTCGCGAGTTATGTCCTCACTCTTCCCAGGACTCGGCTTTCTTGTTTTAAGCAGCAAGGAGGGCAACACCTTGGGCGCTATTGGCATTACCGGGCAGCCGCAGTGGCTCTGAGATTGCCAGTCCAGACTAGCCAAGGGAGCTGCTGAGTGAGTGTTTTTCGAGAACGCTGGATTCTGGCTGCAGCTAAGGCAGGTTGTTGGAAATGGGGTAGGAACACAGTTGTGGGTAGTCATACTTGTCTTAACCCTGAAGCAAAATTAACGAAAAGGTTCTGGAAGTTTGGAGCCCTTTCCTTCAGTGCAGATTGTCTACAATCCCTTCAGTCTCCTTCCCACAGATTTCATATCTTTATACCAAGCCCATTTCATTATGTTTTCAGTCTGGGTGATTTGAAGTTTTGATGTAGAATTAGTGCATGAAATCTGAAATCAGAATTCTGAGATTTTTTTTTTTGCTATCCAAGTTAGAAACATAAGAGGTATTCAGTGAGGCAGAATGAGTAGTTATCAAGCTTAAGGGTAGTTTCTGCAGCCAGGGTTCCAAGCTCCTGACCTGTTGGGAGCTGAGGGACTTGACAAAGTATAGTAGGTTCCTGGGATATCAGACAAGTCAGGATACCAGAGTCTAGTCTCTCTCTCCTTAGTTTTGCTGAGCTTTCACATCGGTCCTCATTCTTTCCAGGTATTTAGAATTAAGCATCATTAAGGAACTGCAAAATGGGAAATAAAACTGCCCCCAACACAGAGCTTAAATTAATTGTAAGGATTTATTTCATTTGGAAACAGTTCCATGGTTCTTTGTGCTACAAATAGGGTCTTGGGCTGTATGTAATTGAAAAAACTCATTTACTCAGCGTAAATCTGTGATGTAGGGACTGTCCCTAATTTGGGTTCCTGTTCAAAGTCCCCTATCTAAAGCAAATCCTTTTCCTTAAAACATAAAATTACGGCTTCACAGGGTATTCTATCATATAGTATATGAACCTGAAAGTATATTAAGAAACATGAAACTGATAATGCTGTAACATGACCACATTACACAAAAGCGTATGGTATTTGGTAGCAGTACAATGAAAGAGAATGTTGACTTATGTTAACTGCCTTATTTCATGAAATTTAAGATGTCATTAGTTGTAAAATGCACAATTATTTTATCTACCACTAAGAAAAAATAACTATAATTTTAAAATAACCATGTGGCACAGTTGGTTAAGAGCGCGAACTCTGAGCAACAGGGTGGCCAGTTCGATTCCCTGGGCCAGTGAGCTGCGCCCAAG